TAGACTTATAGGTGTGTGACCCACCAGCGCCGGGCTACACCTGTCATTCTTTTGGTCTAGAAAGTTCTTCTCCTAGTACTTGTCTTGCTGGTTTCCTTTCTTGCTCTTTTCAGGTTTCTCATTAGATGTTGACTCTTCAGAGGTGCCTTCATCTCTGCCACTGTTTAAACTAGTTCTTCCTTACCCTGCTGTATTCTCTCGAACCCTAAGTGTTTGTCTTCATCTAGCATAGCATACAGATGAGCCCCAGGCCCAGCTCTTCCGTCTAGAAGTTCCTTTGGGGTTCTTGTGTGGTGGGGGCTTTTGTTCACTGCTATCTACCACCAAGTTCAGGCACATAGTAGATGCTCAGTAAATAGTTGTTCAAGGCATGATTGGAGTTCCACAGGTTGGCGTGTGTGTGTGTGTGTGTGTGTGTGTGTGTGTGTGTGCTAGTACTGGGTTCAGGGCTTTGTATTCACTCTTGGCCCTCTGCTACTTGAACCACACCTCCACTTCCAGTTTATTGTTGGTTAATTTATCTGCCTAGCTGGCTTTGAAGCATAGTTCTTCGATTTCGGTCTCCTGAGTAGCTAGGATTACAGGTGTGAGCTACCAGTGCCCAGCTCTTAGGTTCTTTGCTGGGGTGGGAGAGTCAGATATGGTTCGATGATGTCCCTGTGTAGAAGGGGCTGGAGGTGACGGTTTCTGGTGAATGTTTGTGGACTTTTCTGATGTCTCCTGTGGTCCGCAGGCCACATTCCACTACCGGACGCTGCACAGTGACAATGAGGGCTGTGTGCTGGATGACAGCCAGGTGCGTGGCAAACCCATGGAGCTCATCATTGGCAAGAAGTTCAAGCTGCCTGTGTGGGAGACCATCGTGTGCACCATGCGCGAGGGGGAGATTGCACAGTTCCTCTGTGATACCAAGGTACCAGCCTGCAGCCACAGTGCCCAGCCGTGCCCTGGTTCCCCTCCTCCACATCACACCAGTCTCCTGACTGTCAGGCTGGCCTCTGTCTCACCTTCTTCATCCACTAGCCAGACTGCAGCTAGCTTTCAAGCGTTAATGGTCCGTAGGACCCCTATTCTATAGCTCCTGCTCCTTATCAGGCTGGATAAAAGTGGCTGCTCACCTGGCCCTTCAGGATCTGTTTTTTTTCTGTTTTTGTGGTGCTGAGGAATCAAACCCAGATCTCATGCACATAAGGCAAGCACTCTACCACCGAGCCACCTTCCCAGCCCAAACTTAATTTTGCCAGACACTGTTGGTTCATGCCTGTAATCTTTTTTTTTTCTTTGGGGGATGGGGTCCAGTCGTGGGGCCTGAACTCTGGGCCTGGGTGCTGTCCCTCAGCTCTTCAGCTCAAGGCTAGTGCTCTACCACTTGAGCCACAGCACCACTTCCGGTTTTCTAGTGGTTTATTGGAGATAGGAGTCTCACGGTCTCTCCTGCCTGGGCTGGCTTTGAACCGCGATCCTCAGATCTCAGCCTCCTGAGTAGCTAGGATTACAGGCGTGAGCCACCAGCGCCCGGCTCCTCAAGAGTTTTTGTTGTTTTTACTTATATTTGTTTTTGACATGTGAGCCTTAGTATTGCTCAGGCTGGTCTTAAACTCCTGGGCTCAAGTGCTCCTCCTGCTTCAGCCTCCCAAATAGCTGGGACTCCAAGTGCCTGCCACCAGCCTGTACCAGGCTACCCCTCTGGGATTTAGAAGTTGTTGCCCCAAGCCCAGCTCTGAAGGGGGTCTAGACTCAGGTAGGGGTAGGGCAGGAGGAGGAGGAAGTGGTGCTGGAAAACAGATGTGAGGAGTCTAGCTTATGAAGGAGAAGAGGAAGGGAAGGAAGAGATGGAGGAGGAGGAGGAAGAGGAGGGCCAGGGAGGGAAGGGGGGGGGATTCCATTGAATCTAAAAGGCCGGATGATACAACTGGATGGCAGGCTTGTATGTTTGCAGGTGGTTCAGTGGTCAGAGAGTGTGGCTGAGCTGGGAAGGAGGGAAGAGAGGCCAGAGGAGCCCAAAGCAGCCCAGGGAAACAAGCTTTCTCAGGACTTTAGCACAGAGAAGGGACCAGGGCCATTGGTCCTTGTTTGGACAGGGATGGGGAGTCAGGCTTGGTGAGCACCGGCCCACATTGATGGAGGCCCTGGCTCCCACTCTCCCTCCTGCAGCATGTGGTCCTGTACCCATTGGTAGCCAAGAGTCTCCGAAACATCGCCGCAGGCAAGGATCCGCTGGAGGGCCAGCGGCACTGCTGTGGCATCGCCCAGATGCATGAGCACAACTCCCTGGGCCACGCGGACTTGGATGCCCTGCAGCAGAACCCCCAGCCGCTCATCTTCCACATTGAGATGCTGAAGGTGAGACCCCCCACCCTGCTGCTTCTCCGGGCCCCTGCTACCCAGGGTGCCCGGGGATGGTGGACTGGACCAGTGTGTAGTCTGATACAATCCCCAGCCTCCCTCGCGAGGCCCCTGGGCCTCTTCAGGCCTCAGTGTTCACCACCTGCAGGAGGCCGGTCCTGCCGCTCCTTGCTTCAGGCCTCAGTGTTCACCACCTGCAGGAGGCCGGTCCTGCCGCTCCTTGCTTCCTGTATCCGCTCTCCTAAGGCCACCTCTGCCTCTACAGCCTGCCACACCAGCGCAGTTGGACATTATGAACTTCTGTGTCTGCCCACAGCCCTGCCAGGGCAGGGGCACGCTATCTTGTTTACTTGTACTGCCACAGTGCTGGGCATGAGAGATGCTAAGGAGTTATGCGTTGAACTGTCAGTGCATGGAACAGCGTCTGCTCTGAGCATCTGGTGTCAAAGCCCAGCTGGTGTAGACGCTGGTCAGATATGTGGCTGAGGACACTGGGATTCCCTTGGGCTTTTGTATGTGTGTGCCAGTACTAGGATTTGAACTCAAGGCCAGCACATTTTCCTTTAGGTTTTTCTTTGTTGTTGTTTTAACTTAATTTAATTTAGTTTTTTGTCGGTCATGGGGCTTGAACTCTGGGCCTGGGCACTGTCCCTCAGCTCATAAGCTCAAGGCGAGCACTCTACTGCTTGAGCCACAGCGCCACTTCTGGTTTTCTCCTGGTTTATTAGAAATAAGAGTCTCACAGACTTTCCTGTCTGGGCTGGCTTTGAACTGCGATCCTAAGATCTCAGCCTCCTGAGTAGCTAGGATTATAGGCCTGAGGCACCAGCGCCTGGCGAATTTTATTTTTTTGATAGTCATGGGGCTCATCCTCTGAGCCTTAGCACTACCCCTGAGCTTTCTTGTTTGAAAGTAGTGCTCTACCACTTTGAGCCACAGCTCCACTTTCAGTTTTCTGGTGGTTATTTGGACATGAGAGTCTCATGGATTTTCCTTCCCAGATTGGTTTCAAACTACATTCCTCAGGTCTCAGCCTCCTGAGTAGTCCGTTAGCTTTTTCACTCAAGGATAGCGCTCTACCACTTGTGCTACACCTCCACTTCCAGCTTTTTGGTGGTTAATTGGAGATAAAGAGGCTCACAGACTTTTCTGCCCAGACTGACTTCAAACCAGGACCCTCCAAGCAAGGATTGTGGTTGTGAGCACGCGGCCCTTGGGCTCTGTCATGATGTCGCCCCTGTCTTGGCAGGTAGAGAGCCCTGGCACATACCAGCAGGACCCGTGGGCAATGACAGATGAGGAGAAGGCCAAGGCGGTGCCGCTCATCCACCAGGAGGGCAACCGCCTGTACCGTGAGGGCCAGGTGAAGGAGGCTGCCGCTAAGTACTATGACGCCATCGCTTGCCTGAAGAACCTGCAAATGAAGGTTTGCGGGGGAGATGGCCATGGGTGAAGCGGAGAGGCAGAATCCGGGCCCGGATCTCACCATCTACTTTCTCCATGCCCCTGTTTCCCCAGGAGCAGCCTGGGTCCCCCGACTGGATCCAGTTGGACCAGCAGATCACACCGCTGCTGCTTAACTACTGCCAGTGCAAGCTGGTGGCTGAAGAATATTACGAAGTGCTGGACCACTGCTCCTCCATCCTCAACAAGTATGACGGTGAGCGGCAGGTGCCACACGGGAGGGCCAGACAGCCCGTTCCTCCCTGCCACCGCTGGACACGGGGGCAGAAGCCTGAGCTTTGATATCCCCGCTTGACTCCCTCCCCCCGCGCCCCCAGAGTCTGACTAAACACCCCACTCAGGTAGGGCTCAGCTCTGTTGCCTGGGATGTGTGCGTGGATAGTGGCAGGGTTGGCCCCAGGTCAGGGTCCCCTGATGGGTCCCCATGCCAGGTGGCAGGGCTCCGTGGATGGCCGGTCCCCCTCATGCCTTTGTGTCCCTGCAGACAACGTCAAGGCTTACTTCAAGCGGGGCAAGGCCCATGCGGCCGTGTGGAATGCCCAGGAGGCCCAGGCCGACTTTGCCAAGGTGCTGGAGCTGGACCCTGCCCTGGCGCCTATTGTGGGGCGCGAACTGCGGGCACTGGAGTCCCGGATCCGGCAGAAGGACGAGGAGGACAAGGCCCGCTTCCGAGGCATCTTCTCCCACTGACGGGGCCTCCTTTCCTGCGCCACCTCGCCAAGTCCATTGCTGCCTCCGCCAGCCCACTCACTGCTTCTGTGTATATTATAAAGGCCTTATTTATCTCAGTGTGTCTCTAGTGAGCCCATCCATGCAGGGCAGGGCTGGGGGGGGGGGGCGGCAATCAGCAGTGCTTCCTGGTCATCTGGTAGACCTTTGGAGGCAGCTCTGAGGCAGCTCTAAGACCTTTCGGCTTCAGTGTCACTGCTTAATAAAGGGGTATTCCTCTGGGTGGTATCAGGGAACCCCAGAAGGTTCATCCTGTCTTAAGCCTGGCGGGTAGGGGGGGTCCCTTCTAACTCTGGCTGGGGTGACGGGGAACACTGGGCCTTGTGGGAAGGAGTGGCGGGTGCTCTGTGGTGCTGTGGAGGCCTCGTGACCTGGGCCTGTCCCAGCTCCTCTCTGCGCTTCAGAGTCCCAGCTAGAGGCTGGGCTCCGGTGCGCTGTGCTGCGCTGCCAGGCCGCTAGGACACAGGTGGACGCAGGTGTTTATTTTTATGAGTTCACACACACTGAAAAAGCCACTGGGCCTAGCTCACTCCCCCCACCCCCTCCCGTGGGCAGGGTTCCCCCAAGAAAGGGAAGTAACACTGAGGAGCAGACAGATGTAGGGTGTCTAGCCAGGGGACCCATGGCTGGGGCCACAACTCTAGGCCCTCAGTCTCCCACACGCAGGCATCCAAGTGTCAATAAATAACCCAGGTCCAGCCACATTTGGGGGGGGTCACTCTTCACAGTCCAATTTGAGGCTGATGCTTCGGGCCTTGCCCCGGGCCAGGGTAGTCGGCGGGGTCCCTGGGCCCTCTCGATCTGCCTGGCTGGGGCCCCTGGAGCGAAGCAGCTGGCTCTGCTTGCGGAGAAAGTCCACTGGAGCAGCTACCCCATAGCTGCTCTTGGCCAGGGCAGTCCTTGGGGGTCCGGGTGGGGCGTGAGAGTGGGAGCCTGCCTCCAGCTGGCCCAGGTGGGCCACGTAGCCATCTGACAGGAACTGCAGGCAGACATGGGCAAGGATGAGGTGATGCCAACCTGAGTTCACACCCCCCTTCCCATACCCTCCCCAGGCCCCTGCAGCAGGGCCGGGCAGCTGGACAGCACTGCAGATGACACGTCTGGCTCAGCCGGACCCCAAGCCTTCTCTCAGTAGTTAAGCTGTTGAACTAGGGTGCCCTGCTTTACTCCCGCCCCAGCCCTGCTCTGGCCTATCTTACTTAGAAGGCAGCATCTTGCGTAAATAACTGCAGCTAATATTTAGCAATCACTTGCTTTGTGCCCAGCCCTGGGCAGTAAACAATGCCATCTTTACAATGAGCAGATGAGGCCAGGGCCAGCATTATGTTCAGCTTACAGGCAGAAAACAGGCGTGGAAAAGTCTAGGCCATGGCGGAGGAGCCAACCTTTGAGACCTTGAGCCATACACCTGCCTGGGCTACCCCAGGTCTGCCTTGTAGCTAGGTAGGCAACAGGCTGTTTGTGATTCCTGTCCCCGGGAGAACTTAGGCTCCCTGTGGCGGGTGGGCTGCTCCGGCTTCCTCACCCCACCGGGAGTCTTAGGCCCGTGGGCAGTTGTCAGGTCCTGTTCCCTGTAGTCCCTTGATCCTCACCTGGCACTGCGCCTGCAGCTTCCGCACAGCACGGCCCACAATGTAGGTCTGGCCAGGGGACAGGCCAAGTGCCGCATAGACAGCAACGTCTTTGGGGGATCCGTAGCCAGCTACAATGTTCAGTTCTACCTGTGGCAGGAGAAGCCAGTGACCAGCCTGGGGATGGAACCTTAGTGTTGGGGGTGGGGCTTGTGAGCATTTTCCAATCAGGCCGTTTTGGGGGTGGGCTCTCTGGGCAGAGGTGAAACCAGCTGACTCAATCGCCTTGGTTGGCCCTAAGGACTAGGGTCCCCTAGAACCAGGATGGCCAGCCTACAGGGACTTCCAGTTACTTGGCCAGGGCCAAATAGGAGTAGAATGAGATGGGTCTTTGCTATCGTGCCTGGGGTGAGGGCCGGGAGGAGACCTTCCCCAGCCCCCGCACCTCCTGCACCAGGCTCTGCAGAAACATGGCCTTCTGGCGTAGAGGGTCATGAGTGAGGCCATCGCAGAAGGAGACGACCCCATGGGGGAAGTTGTGCTGGGACAGCCAGGCCACCACGCGGTGCTTCTGCATGTCAGGCCGGCCAGTCACATACACGATCAGGTAGCCCGAGTCCTGCCAGTGTCTGTGGGGTAGGGACGCGGTCAGCTGCACAGGTCAGGGTGGGGGCCGGTCGCTGTGGTGAGCAGGGTGGCAGCTCCTACCTGACCACGTCCACGGCACCAGCGCGCACCTTGGGGTCGCTGCCCATGATGGAGACACTGGCGGTGAAAGAGCCATCGATGCTGAAGACCACGGCTTCCGTGCCCCGGGCCACCACTGTGAGGCAGCACTCGGCGTAGGTGTGGTCACCCCTGCAACGGAGGGGGCCTTGAGCAGGATGGGACAAGCCCAGCCCCCTAGAGGCCCAGCTGCCTGCTGCTCACCTGACCACCATCCGCACGGGGTAGACGCCGATGCCCAGCGCCCGCTCACCGGGCACTGGGAAGGTAAGACGGCCCGAGCTGTTGGTGACTTCAGTGCCAAAATGGATCCACTTGCCTGACAGCGGCTGTGTCATGATGTAGACATCCACCTGGTGGGAAATGGGCGTGGAAAGGGCCACGGGAGCAGAACTCCCGGGCGCTGCCCGGCTTCCGGGCCTGGCCTGGCACTGGAAGAGGGTGGGAGGCCCAAGCCCTGCTGACCAAGGGGCCAGGAGGTGGGGCCAGAAATACCGGGGCTGAGCCCAAGTCCTGACCTTCTCTCCGGTGAGCGTGACCACATCCAAGGGCCCGTACATGAAACGTCCGTTCAGCACCTGGGGGCGGCCCTCGCACACCACTGTGTCGCTGGCCCGATGATTGGAGGTGACATTCTGGGTGGAGGAGATGGTGGGCGTTATAGGGGAAGGCGGATGAGAATGTGGGATGGACCTGGAGCAGATGGGGCCTCTGGGGGAGACCCAGGAGGGCAGGCACCCCTGCGGACCTCAACGTGAGGTGGTGAGCGTGGTTTCAAGGGTGGGAGCTGTGACTGGAGGGATGCTGAGATGAGATCCACCTTCATAAAGGGAGCAGGAGGTGGAGAGTGGGCGGGACTAAGGCAATAAGGGGGTGTGGCCAACCCCTTGGGTGGGACGTGGCACTTACCCGGATCTTGACTTGGGTGCGTTTGCGTTGCCACTTCTCCCTGGGGAAGGCAGGGCTGTAGATGGATGGTTCCTCACACTCTGCCAGCTGTGGCCGCTCCTTCTTGATCACCTGAGGACACAGAACCGGGGCCCAGTGCAGGCCAGCCCTGGCTCTCATCCTCCCCTGGGACCCTTCCACTACGTTGCGACCACTCACCTGGCGTAGGATGAAGGCCACCACGTCGGCAGACTCCCAGTAGCTGGCGTGGAAGAGGTGGGGCAGCGTGACCGTGGGGAAGGCGGTGAGCGCCTCGGGGCAGTACAGCGAGTAGTCGATCCGCTTGGTCCCCCACCAGCGCTCCAGGACTGCACGGCCACGGTGGGCAGTGAGTCAGGGTGGTCAGCTATGGGCGTCCAAATGCCCTGCCCCTGCGGCTCCTCCCTCCCTCCTCTCTGCCAGAACGCTAAAGTACAGACCGAATGCTATAGATGGGGCCCAGGGTACTATGCTAGGGGACAGGATGTTTATTGTATGGGCTAAGACCCCCCCTCTCCCCCCCCCCACAGGCTGAATTGCCCAGTGGCTTGCTGACTTACTCTTAACCACCTCGCTGGTGGTGCTGGGGGCCGCTGGCTGAGCTGTTGGCTCAGTGCCTAACTCAGTGCCCTTCCAGAAGGCACCACTGGCCGACGTGGGCGTTGAGGGCACCATCATCTCCAGTTCCTCCAGAAAGAGGCCCGAGTGGGTTTGCAATGTATCAGCTGGGAAGACAGGCCAGCCTCAGCCCTAGGCAGGGACAGCTTTCCCTCCCATCTCCTTACCCAGGGGTCCCCTCGTAAGACTGCCTGTCCCCTATCTGGGCAGGACAGAAGTGAGGAGGCTTTGTCTCTGGCTATCCCCAGCTACACTTCTGATAGAATGAATGCCTGTCACCACACCCCAAACACATTTGTACAACTGCACCTGTGCCCATGACCCTTCCTTGTGGCACCAATGAATATTTAATTACATGCAGACTTGTGCATGCTCCTGGCGCTCAGGGAGCCACAGTGAGCCCATACAGATGGACACACCTAGCTGTGGCACACCCTGCCTGCTAGACTCCCTTTGTCTCCTCTCTCTAGGTTAGTCATTGCCCTCCCTACCCCACTTAATACAAGTTAGAAGGTCCTATAGGCTGGGTGCTAGTAGTTCACGCCTGTAACCTAGCTACCCTGGAGGCTGAGTCTGAGAATTGTGATTCAAAGGTAGCAAGGGCAGGAAAGTCCTGGAGATTGTTATTCCAACTAGCCACCAAAAGCTGGGAATGGAAAGGTGGCTCAAGTGTCAGAGTACTAGCCTTGAGCACAAAAGGTCAGGGATAACACTGGTGTCCTGAGTTCAAGCCCCAGGACCAGAAGAGAGAGAGAGAGAGGGAGGGAGGGAGGAAGGGAGGGAAGGAGAGAGGGAGGGAGGGAGGGAGAGAGAGATTGACAACTGTGATTAGAAACCAGCATGGGCAGTAAAGTCCAGAGACTTACCTCCACTTAACCACTAAAGCATCAGAAGTGGAGCTGTGGCTAGCTTTGAGTGAAAAAGCTTAGGGACAAAACCCAGGCCCTGAGATCAAGCCCTAGTACTGGCACAAAAAAAGAAGGTGTTGTAGATCCAGATACTCCCCTCTCCAAAGGCCAGCAGAGGCTCCCTGGTCCTGGGATGAGTGACAGGAGAGGTCCTGAGGTGGATACTGACTAGTACTTTTTTTTTGCGGGGGGGGGGCGGTCAGTTGTATGGCTTGAACTCTAGGCCAGGTCTCTGACCTTTTTTTTTTTTTTTTGCACAAGACTAATGCTTTACCACTTTGAGCCACAGCAGCACTTCTGGTTTTCTAGGGGTTAACTGGAGATAAGAGTCCCACAGACTTTCCTTGCCCAGGCTGGCTTGATCCTCAGATCTCAGGCTTCTAAGTAGCTAGGATTACAGGCGTGAGCCACCAGCAACTGGATTGCCTTGTCATGCCCCCCTTCCTCCCTTTTGTTTGGGAGCATACCCAGCAGCAGGGATGAGCCATCGCCCAGGGGGAACTTTTGGTAGCGAGGCACAGCCAGTGGGGCAATCGCTTGGAACTTGGGGGCCAGTAGGGGCTCCAGGCGGGAGGCGCAGGGGTCGGCTGCATGGAAGAGGTTGTAGATCTGCTCGCAGGCTGGGTGCATCTGTGCCACTGGGTACCCAGAAGACAGAGAAGGTAGGAGGAGGTTCAGCGGGACATCCGAGGAGGGCGGGGGCCACGCAGCACCCGGCATGCTGAGGGACGCTTGGGTCCTGCTGGAAAGGACGCGTGTCTCTTGGCCAAGCAGAGATCAGGGCCTTCAATCAGCTCAGCTTCAGGATGAAATATTTCCCCTCCTGTGGGACCATTTCTTACACAGAATCTCTCCTGACTGACTGTAAAGCTCTTTCCAGACGAGCTGGGTGCTGTGGCTTATTCCTGTAAGCCTAGCTATTCAGGAGGATGAGAAATAAGGATCATAGTTCAACGCTAGCCTGGGCAGAAAAGTCCATGGGATTCTTTTTTTTTTTTTCAGTTGTAACTCCAGACAGGAACCAAAGAGGAGTTTTACTGCCTCATCTCTGGGTTTTATGGAGATTTCATTTACCCTTCTGTGTTAGCTTCTTAAGACACGGGGACCATGGGATTCTTATCTCTCATCAACTACCAAAAAAAGGCAGAAGTGGAACTGTGGCTCAAGTGTAGAGCACTAGCCTTGAGTGACAAAACGTAGGCAGAGAAGGTGGGGAAGGAGCAGGCGAGAGGCAGGGCATCTCCCCGCCCCGGCTCACCCTCCAAGGCGGGCATCACGGTTTTGCGCAGAGCCAGCACCAAACCCAGCGGGGAGCCGAAGAGGAAGAAGCCAGAGACCTTGAAGTCCAGGCGCGCAGCGCTGACCGGGCCATCGGGAAGCTGAGAGCTGGCAGCAGGCGGGCAGGAGACTGTGCTTGCTCGCCGGGGCTCCCCGGAAGAGGTGGTTGTGGGGGCTGCCTGTAGACTACAGAGAAAGGGGGTTCGGTGCTGCTGCCACTGAAGCCCAACCGGGGAGGGGCACTGGGGTGGGGTGGGAGGGTTCACCTGTTCTGACAGTTCTCCGGCTCAGGATTGGCCGCATCACTGGGGGTGCGCTGGGAAGGCAGGGCCGAGGGTTCTGGGCTAGCCCGACCGAGGGCCTCCACCCCATCTGCCAGGGGGTCTCGTATGGGGCCCACCTCCGGGGAGAGCAGCTCATTGTTCTGGAACACAGGAGAGAAGCTGCCTTAGGCTGGAGACTACAATTTCTCCTGAATTTGGAGAAGCATCAGGCTTGGGGCTGGGTCGAGTAGAGTCTCAGAGGAGAACTGCAGACTAGCCTACAACCACAAAGGCCAGATTCCAGGCCCCGAGACTTACAGACAGAAAGACACCTCCCTCCCCTCCCCGCCCCCCCCCGGCAGGCCACGAGTGGCCACACTAACCATGCTCCCACGCCGGCTGCTGCCCCGACTCCCTGTGCCCGCATTGGCACTGTGGCAGAGCGCGTCGAAGCCCAGGATGCCACCAACACCATCTCCAATCAGCACCACCTGGGTGGGAGGAAGGGCGCACTGAGCAGGTGGTCGCGGCCCAGGCAGGGCCTCGGCCGGGCTGCTGTGGAGGATGGCCCCCACCTGCCCACAGAAGCCGGTGCCCTCTGACGAGCGCAGGAAGGCCGCGTAGGCTTGGTTGGTGCGAGCGATGACGGTGGTCACGGCGCCCTGGTAGCGGGAGGATGAGGTGGCCAGCAGTGGCAGGGCGGCCAGCGGGATGTGATCCTGGGAACGGGACAGGCTGTCGCCATCGTGGCTGTAGGGGCTCAGGCTGCAGGGGGAAAAGGATACGGTGGGAGGTTAGAGGCCCCGGCCCCACCCCTGCCCCTCAAGTCCTTTGGACTGGTGGACAAACCCTGGCACCCTGATCTCTCAGCGGTGTCAACCCTAAGACACACCTCGGGAGCACCGAGGGAAACAGGTCCACCCGAGATCAGTGTGGACCTAGTGTGTGGACCCCTTCCCCAAGGGACCTCCTTGCTTTGAGAAGCCATCAAGTAGCTGTCTGCACCTTGGGGTCCCCTGTATACCTCCCACCCTCCCACCCCTGGCCAATACTTGGAGACAAGCGCATAGGCGGCAGCGCAGATGGGTGGGCAGGGCACCAGTCGCAGAGCCACGTGGCCCAGGGCCTCCGGGAAGTGGATGCGAGTGACGGCCTCGAAGGCAGAGCTCAGCGTCTGCACGTCTGCCTGCTTGGAGCTGGCATCGGCGGGGCCCGAGTCCAGGATGCTGCCGCTGTGCAGGATGAGGAAGAGCACGTGCACTGCGCACGCCTCGGTCCCCAGGTCCCCTGCTCCATCTGGGCCCTGAGGGGCACAAAGGTTAGGAGGGTGTCAGGGCAGAGGCAGGCCAGCAAATGGACAGAACTCCAACGTGGCAGGGGCAACCAAACCCACCTCTGAGTCCCTGGGTGCTCGGGCCCCATCTTCAATGACTTTAGCAGTCTCGGTTCCTGGGTCTACAGGGCAGGGAAAGCCGGTAAGGGCAATGGCTTCCCCATCAGCACTTCAGATACCCCAGCTTCTGGCAACAGACCGAGGCCTCCCCTCCACCTCCTCTTCCTCTCTACCAAGGCATTTCACTTTCTAGAGTCTTCTTCATGCCAACCTTCCATACCATGTTTGCCTAGCAAGTTTCTTATAATTCCACCAACACCGTGGGCACTTGCCACATGTAGCTATTTACATTTAAATACAAGGAAAAGATCCACTCTCCCCCTCCCCCAATCACACTGACACATTCTAAGTGCTTGACAGCCACTGGGGGCTAGTGGCCATCACACAGGGTCGTGCAGATCTAGAACAACCTGTCATCACAGCTGCTGTCCTTCAGAACCCAGCCCAGACAGCAGATGCCATGAGGCCTTCTGGAGTTCCCAGGGAAAGCCCCGTACCATCCGGAGAGGGGACACCCTCCCCACCCACCCTCGCACCCCTCCATTTCTCCCCTGCAGCCCCATCTGAGTACTAACGGGTCCCCTGTCCACAGTGACATTTCTGGCAGGCCCCCTTAAGCCCAGGACTGAGCTGTTCTAAGTCCCTGCTGCGCATGGGGTGCTGGGCTGGCACCCTGAGGGGAGTCTTTACCAGGAGCCCCCTCTGCCTCGGTTGGGGAGGCAAAGGCGTCGATAAAGTCATTGGAATTCCACTTGGTCATCTCCTTGGGGAAGACCTCGTCACTGTCTGAGAAGCCTTCTGAGGGGACAGGAGGCTGTGTCATGGGGTGGGAGGAGCTTGTCCGTCCCTCAACCCCCAACAGGGCCTCTGTGCTGACCGTGGGCATCGAAGAACTCCTCCTCCGAGCTGTTCTCAGAGTCTCGGGCTATGTTCTGCATGCGCCATTCAGACAAGCTCTGGGGAGACACGCCCCCTGCGGGGCCACGTGGGCCTCAGCCTGGGAGTCCAGAACTGGGGGGGGGTGGCCCCTTCCCATCCCTGGCGGGGACCCGCCTCATGCTCCTCATGCTCCTCACCTCCATGCTGGGATGAATAGGAGGAACGGGAGGAGGAAGACCACTGCTTCCCAAAGCTGGCATCGGGTGAGGCATCGGGGCCTGTGGGGACCTCGGGCCCATCAGGGGTGCCAGCATTGTGGGACCCAGGCCGAGCCTCCGTGCTGGACTTCCCAAGGGGCTGGGCCTCAGGTCCCTCACTGCCTGAGTTACACTTGGCCATGCGCTGGGCCAGCATGCGTGCAGTCTCTTCCTCAAGTGCCCGGATGTCAGCCATGCTCAACTCTGTCCACTCGTCCTGCCAGCACCAGGCCTGGCGGTGGGCTCGAAGCATCACCCGACGCAGACCTGTGAGTGCCCCAGACATTAGAACCATATTCTCCTGTATTCCCTGTCACCGCAGCCTCATGCCCGGCCCTTACTCAAGGTTGGGTAATGGCTCCCCTGGTACACCACCCAACAAAAGCCACAAAGTAGGGCAGGCAGTGCTATCCAGGGAAGAGCAGCAGAAATTGGGGCATTTTTCTTGCTGTCCCCTCCCCTCCCCCCCCTGTCCACTGCTTCTTTATCTCCCTGGACACCCTAACTCTGAGCACTGGCATCACCCCCTCAACTCCAGCAACTGGGACCAAGGAGTTAACAGTTCATTAAGATGTTAACAGTTAATGAAATTGCCAATGGTTAATGAAGGTGTTAATAGTTAATTGAAGTGTTGGCACTCCTTGAAGGCTATAGTGAAAGATGATCCCATTCTGGGATATTTTTATCATAAGCAGAGGAATAGAGTTAGAAACTTAAATGTCTAGGAAATAAAGTCCTAATGGCTAAATTATAGCTCTCTGGAAGAAAACACAGCAAAACCTTCATAGAAGTTACACATGTGTGATCTTAATTTTCTTCTTTGTACTTTTTGGTATTTTCTCCAATGTTAATGCAAGGATCCCCACTATTCTCCTTGTAAGAGAGGAACAATTTTACCCATCACCTTGTAGGGGAGTTCTAGGAGTTCATGGAGATCTTGGTCAGAAAGCAATTTGCAAAGTCATAAGTTGTGATTATGTAGTCAGCAATGGCTTTTACTGTCTATGATGGCCCACGGCTTGCTGGGGGGCGGGGGGGGCATTTAGTGGGGAGACTGAACTCAAGCCATGGACACCTCCACCAGGGAGGCACAGTCCTGCAGGAGCTGGGGAGTAGGTGTGGGGAGGTTTTGTATTGGGGTGGCCTAGAGGGAATGACACTGAAGTCACAGCCTCTTCGCCTGTACTTCTTGGCCTGTTGCCTGCTAGGGCTGATGACCCCACTGAGCTTCATTCAGTCTTGCTCAACCCACAGGATGATGGAGAATCTAAAAATCTTCCTGCAAGGAGCATTTATGAGGTCAAAGTGGCACAGGTCTCAGAGATCATGTTGCCAGCCTCTTGTCTCCTGGCTGTTTCTGGTAACTCCAGGACGGCTCCCCTGGCTCCTGGCCAGGCTTCCCTGCTTCCCTCCTCCTCCCCCACCCAGCTCCACCTCAAATGGGAATCATAGCTTGAAGCTTTGTGTCTCCAAACATGGGGCCTGCTGCATGCTGGGTAAGTGGAAGCTCCCCTGCACAGGTGCTCACCAACGTCGTGGATGAACTGCTCGATCTTGGCCTGCATGCCCCAGTAGCGGAACTCAACCTTACACAGCTTATAGGCACACATGAGGGGGCCCGTCTGGGCTGCTGTCCGGGCCCAGTCATCAGCCAGTGGCCCTCGGCCTGTCTTGACTGAGCGGTACAGCCTGGGGTCCTCTTCTGCTTTGTACTCGCCAGGGGCCACCGCATCCCGCACAATGTCGATGGTGTCTGGGGGTGGGGGTGGGGGGCGGCGTTTCAGCAGGCACTGAGCAATGCCAGCCCTCTCAAGCCCCCTCCCTCACTCCCCCTCTCTCCCCCAATGGGAGGGCAGCCTTTTGTAAATAGGAGGCTGGGGCCTGGAGAGGACAGGGGCTTCTCAGAGGTAAAAGAAAGCCTAAGAAGAGGGGCTCCAGGGGTCCCCCAGTAGCTCCAGGCCTCACCCAGAATGCGTTGCCTCCTCTCAGCCCCACTCAGGTTGAAGACATTTGGCTGCTGCCCCCCATCAGGCAGGTAATAGGTCTCTATCTCAATGGAGAATTTCTCCACGAAGGGACAGGTGTACCTGGGCAAAGGGCCAGGTGAGAGTCACGTTTGTGCCCTCCCCCTCCACCCCAGGGCTGCTTCCCCTGGTCTCAGGCCTGTGCCCACCTGGGACACTCACCGAGTTCGGGTGTAGGGATAAGCATTCCAGGATTCCTCCTCTACCTGCAGGGCAGCTTTGGGCAGCAGGGCCCGGAACCAGCCTGGGATGTGGGAGCCAACGTGGTACACCTTGTGCGTGTACTGCCCACTGCCTCCAGGCCCATCCGTGTAGGGCCGGTTGGCCAGGATCTCCACACCGCTGCCCTCACCACTAGACTCCTCCCGGCTCTTTTTCTGCAGCCCAAGGCAGAGACGAAAGCTCAGTTCCTGCTCAGCCCCAGCTCTGCTTATGGGGGTCCCTTGGTCCTGGTCCCCTGTATAGCCCTTTCAGTTCTAAGCAGCCTGATGTTGCTCACCCCCCCACACCCCCATAGGTCCTTGGGACCAAGTTCACGGGCACTGCCCGTTGTCCATAAGGCTCTGCAGCCTAGCATTCAGTCACCGTGCTTGGGTTCTATTCACTGCAATGCATTAATGACCACAACAGAGACACTGCCAGAATGGGACTTCTGTTGCAGTGGAGAGAAACAGAAATCAGGAAAAAGGAAATTGTATGATAGGTTAGGAGTTAGTGCCATGAGAAAAAGAAAGCACAGAGTTCATCCGATGCTGGGAACTGGTGGCTCACGCCTGTCACCTTAGCTACTCAGGAGGCTGAAATCTGAGGATCCCAGTTCAAAGCCAGCCCAGGCAGGAAGTTCATGAGACTCTTATCTTCAATTAACTACTAAAAACAACCTGAAGTGGAGCTGTGGCTCAAGTGGCTGAGCACTAGCCTTGAACACAAAAACTAAGAGAGTATGCCTTAGGCCCTGAGTTCAGGACCCAGGACTGGTATTAAAAAAAAAAGAGTTGATATGAAGAGACAACCTGAGCAAGACTTGACCATGACAGGAGGTGGGGGAGGGAGCCAGCCAATGGGGGGGGGGAGATCCAAGGCAGAGAGGAAGCCAGGGCAAGCCCTGAGGGAGGAACATGCCCTCAAGGAATAAATAACATGGCCAGGATGGCTGGCCTTCTACCTCTCAGAGGACCTTTTCTCTGTGGGACCCCCGATGCCCCAGCGGCCCTTTCCCAGGCCAAGCTTGACACACACAAGCCCCTGGAGGAGACCCCCTGAGGCCTCAGCGCTTGTCCCTGCCCATTCTTCTCACAGCAAAGGCCGGACAGCCCCTATCACCTTGGGCTCCCTCCAGCTCCTCCATTCCTGGGGCCTGATCTCACCCCACCAGTGGGTGGCAAGGCTGGGCTGGCAGACCAGCACCCGGCCAATCCCCCTCCAGAGCCCTCCCTCCCCCAGGCCTCCTCACAGGCACCTTTCCCTTCCCCCAGGGGATTACAGATCCTGAGGATTAATGCTGATCAGCCTGGGCACTGGGGAGGGGGGGCGTGGGCACCACTTGGCCCTTCTGCCTTTTTCTCATGGCCCCTACATCTCTCTCCCCCCCACCCCCCGCCCAGCTCCCACATCCGAAGAAGGGTCTCTCTCCCCTGTTCTGGGCTCTGGAACCCCGAAGATGGACTGTCCCGAATCCAGCTGGGCTAGACCCCCAAGTCTGGAGTGCGGCCTGCGCCCTCCCTCGGTTACCCCATCATGAGGTCCGTCCCCCCCCTCCGCCCCCGGCCGCATCGCCCTCCCCACCACGCTCACCTGGATCATGTAGAGCTGGGCCACTTGGTACTCGTCCAGGCTCATGGGCAGCAGGATGTGGTACTCCTTGATGAGCATCTTGGAGGCGCTGGGCCGGCTGCGCGGCCTCCGCTCCACCTAGCGCAGGGCACCGCTGTCAGGGCCGGGAGCCCAGCGCCAAGGCCGAGGGGCTCGGGCCGCAGGACCCCATGCCCGGACCGCCCTCCGCTACCCGGGAGGCAGAGG